AAGACTTCTTGCGGCATGAGTTTTGCATGGCCCAGTTTTGATTTATCAATGGTCGTGTTGTTGCAATCGAACCTGGTTGAGACCGCTGCTATGCCCCTGAGCGCATGGTGGATGAAGCTTGCGTACAGTTGACGCAGTGCCTGCAGAACGGCTGTGCTGGTCCTGGTGATGATGACAACAGAAATCCAATTCGGATTATGCATGACGAGCTGAGTATGTCTGCCGTCATTTTTGCTAGACCCTTGTGAAGTTCAATACACGTGATGCATAAGTGAGCGGACACTTTGCACGTTGTCTTGTATTTTGGTGTGTCTTTGTGCCCCTTCATGGATTCACGTCAAGATCTGGACACTGGCAGCAGCAGAACTGTGCATGGAGTCGAGTAATTTTGCAGTTCTACCTGACAAAAAGCAACATGCGAGCTTTTGTACAAGCTCTCTTGAATGTACTCTACAGCTCGTTAAGAAGGGACTCACTTACACAGGCCACCAAAGCAGCAGAAGCAGCTGCAGCTCGGCCGACCCTGGAATCCAAGCCTCCGGCGGCTCCAGTCCTTGAGCACAGCCCCTGTGTGGAGGCAAAAGGTAGCATGGAAGCAAGGGGTGTACGGGCTTCGCGAATAAAGATTAAGACTTAGGCCTATGTCAACGTGCCGACAAAGCTCTAACATTTCCCGGGTTCTGCAACATGATCAACATGCATGCGTCGTTTCCAAGCTGCTGGCTCAACTGAGACAGCTGTACTATGTCAGGCTGCTCCCGCACGCCGTCATGCAATCGGTTGCAGAAAGCGATCTCAAGCGCCCACTACAGTGTTCGAGGCAAGCTTAAAGTGCAGGCAGTGAAGCAAGAGTTGAGGCTCCAGTGCTTGAATCAATGATCTTTAGAATGTGATACCCAGCTACACAGCGAGTCCTGATGTGCGAAACAGGCGTAGGCTCCTCTGCCCCACATCTTTTTTGCATCCAGCCCGAGTTACAGCCTGTCTCACCACGCTCACTTGTTAGAATCTTGGCTGCTGGGGAGGCGCTGGAGGAGGCGGCGGAACTGTTTGTCGGCCTGCGAAACGCGCAGGCAGAACGTCGCTCACCCGCAGTACAATTGGCAGCAGTTGGCAGGCGAAATTTTCTAAGATATCTTGCGATGCTTTGATGCGAACCCTGTATCTTTGCACGACAGTTCCTATCCCGCTCACTGCAACGATACTAAGGCCTCAGTACAGAGAGAGCGCTTTTCGACAAGGCAGCTACAAGGATCGCTGATTCCGTCAGCAAATCCGCGCGACGAAATCAGTCAGAGCGTCAAAAAATCATCTTTTTGTCATCGTCCTTGACCACCTGAATGCGCTTGTGGTGAGTTTAAATCAAGATTGGCGACAAGACGTTCCTGGCACGAGCCCAAGTTGGAACACCAAGCATCAAGCGTGAACACAAAGTAAATCTTGCCATCTCACGCAGACACTCTTACTGAGACCCTGGGCCAGAAGAAGCACTCTGACAGTTATTCATGTGCTGATGTGAGGCCAAGCACTACCCAGTAAGGGTGAAAGCCAAGCAGTACTGACACGAAGGGATCTCCCTTGGTAGCCATCAACCAACCAAAACTTGGCAGAAACACCAGGCCTTCGGGCCGGATGACCGACGCCGGCCTTGCCATCTCGCTTGCCAAGCCATGGTGGTCATGGCTTGGGCAGCGGAGTTGGCGGGAGTCCCGGGGCACAGACTTGGCGAAGATTTCCCATGCCTGGATTAGTTGAGATCTTGTGATTATCCATCGAAGCTATATCCTCCATAGCACAAAAGTAAATTGCTGTGATGTGTCTTAGGCGGCGTGCAATTCGAAGAGTCAGTCTCGCCTTGGCAGCTGTAGGTGCGACCTTTCCTTTCCAGGAGTTTAGGAGAAACCTTCACAGTTCTTGAGATCACTTCCATTCACTTCCCTATATGAGGCGTCTCCATGTTGGCGTGCCCCGATGGATCGGAAACTGATATTTTGGGCTCACTAGCGGCAGCTTGTAGCTTGTGTAGCTGTCTTGCGAGAGCCGTGAGCCTTGGCTTGCAGCGCTGACTTGAAAGGTACCAGAAGCTCCGGCGCGTGATTCGCATGAGCCGGCTTGTCAACGAGCAGCTGGACAGGCGATGCTTTCGTTGCCTTCACCCGTGGCCTCTGAGAAGTTTAGATAGCATGGGCCAGTAAGTTAGCGATTGAAATCATTGGCCTGGGTGCAGACGAGAAGCGATAGAAGCACTGCCGTGTTCGCATCAGGTGGACCAGGAAGGGGCCAGCAAAGGAGCCCGTGGTCGAATGCGAGGTTGCTCGCCTAAGGGGTTGTTCAGACTTGCTAATGAAAGTGATATGCATCAGTGCCGCGGGCAGGTTCCTGTCGAGCATGGCGTCACAGGACAAGATGTTGACCTGGACGTCGTGGAGGCAGGGCCCAAGGGATCCAAGGGTATGTAAAACGCTGTCGCTGGTTTTGTGCTCAGGATTATGTCTCATCAGCACTGGGAGAGTCTGCAGGAGTCAGCTTCATTTCACGTAAGTTATGGAGAGGAAGCTACCGCATTTTCTAAACCCTGCAGCCGTGAACGGTGAACAGTTTCCATGACATCAGCTCAGCATGGAGGTTCCCGTGGGTCTCGCCTTTGAGTGCGAGCGGATCAGGCATCGAAGCGTGGTCTAAGCTTGGCATTCGCCAAGATATAGATACCTTGTAAAAGAACATTTCTTCGAATTCGTACGGCGCCTGCTACAGAGTGGAGTTTGGAACGGCTTGCGGGGGCAATCGCTCTTCTTGCGGTGGCTGTAGAAACATCTTGTGATATTTGAGGTGAGATCCGTTGCTCCAATAAATCAATGCATTGTCAGCGACTGCACATAGCATGCAGTGAGGCAGCAGCTTCGACAAAGGTTTACTTGCGAAACTGATGTGCAGATGGTCGAGGCGCGGACCTGAAGCACAGGAATGGACTGGGAAAAAGGGAGATTGCTGCATCTCAGTCTTGGAGCGTTGAAACGGAAGTCCGCTTGGAATGTCAATTTCTGCAGGCGCTCTTGGCTTATCTGAAGCAACGGGACGGCGCGGTCCCAGATGATGAGGTGCATGCAGATGTCTCGTTCAGGGATGACAAGTTGGCAAACTACGAGTGCTTGATGCTAGCACATTAATATCAATATGCATATTTGTTTTGATATTAATATTATAGTGTTATAGTGTTAATTGTCTTTGGCGACATCCATGGGGCCAGGCGCTCTTGCAGCTGCCTTGGATTGACGTGGCCGCGTTGGCACAGCTCACGCAAGAGCCTAAAGCTTGACTATACTGGTTGTATGATTTTTTCAGAGTGTCTAGCAAGACAAGTCCCAGCAGCACCACCCAAATCATGTTGCGTCAGACATCTTGTGCCTGCTTCGAGGTATTGGTACGACAGGCGACCCCGTGAGACTGAGGAAGTGCAGGAAGCGCAGAAAGAGGCGTGCCAACATTCAACCGTTGACCGTTTCCTCTGGTTTGAGCTCCATAGACAGGAGCGAAATCGGGACGCCAAGTACGGGCGGTGGACCAAGAAGATCGGCCGAGAAAAGGTGCACCTGATAGTGCACTCAAGCTTGCTCCTTTTAGTAGTCATTCTGAGGCCCGCAACTGCCAGGTAATCTACTCTTCCGTTGGCCTCAAATCCCGTGTCCGGACACGCGGCCATCTCGGGGCTAAGGTGCCAATGCAAAGGTTTTTTTTTGTACATCCCGAAGGGTACAGTATGGTACAGTAGTGGTGGAGGTCTTCCGGCGACCGGCTGGGGTGGATGTTGGGACCTTGGCTTCCTTCAATTGTCCTTTGAGCTTGGTCAGAGCTGCAGGTCACGCGGCTGTCAACGCTGCAGCGCGCAGCATCTCTTTGCGGCCACGAGCCTCTGCTGAACTTGGTGGAGGCGGGTTGCAGTAGCAAGGGCTTGGCCTTTGACAGTTACGGAGAGCTGCCTTGGCGCAGTCCACCATGGACAGCCTGCGTCCGAAGAACGTCGCGCGGATCGCTTGGTCTGAAGTTGAGACGTGTGGAACCAAGTGCCCGGCTATCTACACCTTTTTATGAGCCCACAGAACGCTCCGAATGTGCGGGTGCTGGAGGCACAACTCCAAAGATGACCTGTGGCTGCTCATAGATGGCAAGGTGGAACTGGGCAGGGATGGTGTGCACAGCCTTGGGAATCATTGGGCAGCAGCTCAGAGAAGCTTGATTGATGTGACCAAACGTCCCTCCATTTAACTCGGGAGGTCTACGACGTGACCTCCTTCTTGTCTCTGCATCCTGGCGGCGGTCAGCTGGTTGTGGACGCCGCAGGGCAGGTGCTTGTCCTGCAGACGGGTAGCCCATGGTAGCCCAATGCATTATTCAGCCCAGACGAAACATTTGAACCATGCAGGATGCCACCTCCTTGTTTGAACGGACCCACGGAGAGGGGCTGAGGTGACCAGCTTGTGGAAAAGATGAGTCGAAAGCTTGGTGACCATCTGAAGCAAAGCTCCCCGCTGCCGTTTTTGGTTCTCCCCGGCAGTCGAGAAATCAGGCCCATGGCTGCAGCTCAGCACCCGCTACCCGTACAAGCTCGCAATCAAGTTGGGCAGAAGGATCGTGTGTTCTGTTACATAGACCAAGTTGCCGAGAGCAGGAGGCTGATGGCAACACATTGCAATGGCAGCCGGCGGGAGGGGCAGCTCTTGTCTTCGGTCAGTTCTGTTGCCACCTAGCTGCCCTAGCAGCATCATGCACACGCTACTTTGGTTATCCACTTTAAATTGTGATTCATGTCCTGATTCAGAGCTTTTCATGTCTAAACGGGTCCATGGGACCCCTGGAATGCTAGTCTTGAATGCAGTTGGAGTCAATTGAGTGCATGACTGAGGGGTCTCACCGCATACTTCCTGGGGGCACTGACAGTTCCTTGGCTAAAGGGGCGCCGCGACGCAAACCTCTTGATTCCTGGTCCAAGCTGTGTTAGGAGAAGCCTTGGCTTCTGGCCGAATTCCGTTGTGCACCGAAAACCCTAAACCCTAAACATGTGTGCCGAAGGTCGTTTGCTACGATGCCCTTCTGGCTATGCCCAAAGAAGGGCACGGCAGCCAGTCCAGGAACAGTTCTATCGAGGCTGGGTTCACCGACTCCGCCTGGCCTTTATAAGTGTTCAGGGTTTAGTGTTTGGGTCAGATTATACAGGGAATAAGAATATCATATATTGAGCTATAGGAGATTAGGGAAATATTGGATCAATCGGAAAGAAAATGGAAACTACTAAAGGGCTTAGGGTCTAAACTCCCTCAAGGATCTCAGGGGGGTTGCAGGGGATTCTATAGGGGACGATCATAGGGGTTAATAAAGGGGAAATACTAGGAGTTTGGACAATTGCTCAAATGGATAACCGCGCTGCCTGGTGCAGGTCAAATCGGAGACCAAAGCCACCGGAGGCGCAGAACTGGGAGCCAAACCTGCTCTCAACTTTACAGTGGTGACCAAAGACGTCACATCGCCAACCGTGGCAGCCAAAGACGGAGAGGCAGCGGTTGATACTGTTGATATTTGTTGAGAACTGTTGCGATTGGGGCACCTTTCACTTTCCTTACCACGTGGATGATCGTGTTCACTAGCCGTGTCTGCAATGCACAGTCGTTTTGCTACGCTTTACATGTCAGTTGTGCCTCAATCACCAGGCAAAACCACCCTCACCTCAGCTGCTACAGTCTGCGCAGCATGTGCGACACCATGGACCGCATGGCCTGAAGCACCTCGGCCTGTTGGGTCTGGAGAATCTGGTTACCATGATGGGTATATTTAATTAGGGTTTAGGGTAATATTAAACCCCTAGAATGGCGACTCAAATGGAAAAGAAAATGGAAAATGAAATGGAAACTGTGGGGATTATAGGGATTTAAGCGCTGTCCAAGTGCATGTCAGTTTGTCCACATAGCCCTATGACTGGGCACTCATTTGCAGTGGGTCAACTACTGTCAACTCATGATGCAGATTGCTGCAAGGTTCATCCACATAAGCAAGACAGGCCTGGCATGGTGTGGCTTTTTGTCGTTTTTTTGGGGGTTATGTTTGGGGGACATTTTGGGAAGATGGAAAATTAAAATGGAAACTGCTATAGTATATGAGGGTTATGTTGGGATAATGGAAAATAAAATGGAAACTACGAAAGTTTATTAGGGTAATGTTGGGATAACGGAAAATAAATTCCAAACTACTATAGTATAGTAGAGTTATGTCGGGATAATGGAAAATAGAGTTGGAAAGTACTATAGTATATTGGGGTTATGTTGGGATAATGGAAAACAAAATGAACAACTACTATAGTATGTTAGGGTTATGTTGGCAGAATGGAAAAGAAAATGGAAACTACCCTAAACCCTAAATCCTAAAACTAAATCCTAAACCCTAAACCCTAAATTCTGAACCCTAAACCGCAAGCCTATAGTATATTTGGGAATACTTTGTTTTGGCCTCGGCTTAGCTGCAATCGACTTGGAGGTGGCACGTCCATCGAGCAGCTGGGCATCAATCTGCCAGAGCAGTTACGATGGGGTGCATGGGACCGACAAGAGTATGGCTCCTTGGTTGCTGTCAAGGAATTTATTTAAGTTACCACGTTTGGGAAACCATGGCAATTAGTATATATATATATATCTCCCATTAGGGTAAACTAACTTGAGTTTCTTAAATCCCTATAATCCCCCAGTTTCTATTTTATTTTCCATTTTCTTTTCCATTTGATTCTCCATTATAGGGGTTTAATATAACCCTAAACCTAAATCCTAATTAGATATACCCATCATGGTAACTTGATTCACGTTCCTTAACAGCAACCCAGGCTACCAACATGGTGCGTTCAGGCAGCTCTGCTCAGATGGTCAAGATTCATGCCGCTGAACACCATACAAAGAAGAGAGCATGAGGTTTTCCATTCCAAGGTTTATATAGGGGTCATATAGGGATAATGGAAAAGAAAATGGAAACTACTATTTAGGGTTCAGTGTTATCAGAGATAGTGGTTTCCATTTTCTCTTCCATTATCCCAGTACAACCCCAACATACCATAGTAGTTTCCATATTCTCTTCCATTCTCCCGACAGAGGTTTTCCATCCATGTGCTTCAAGCAACGCATAGTACAGTCAAGCTACATTTTTTTTGAGCACGCCATACGGTATATTCTTCGTATTCGCAGACATCCAAAGCCTAGAAACTGCCTCCCTTAGCAGCCCAGGTATTTTCCTGCAGAGAAGAGGCAAAAGTACGACTGGCACCGTGACTGCAATGTGTCCTTTGAAGCTCGTGTTCTGCTGTAAGATAGTGCAGGCATTGGCGGGATTGTTTTTTTTAGTAAGGTTTCTGGTGAGCCGAAACCCAGTCGACCGCTTTGTCTCTGAGAAGCTCGGGTGCAAAGGAGTTAAAGGATGGCCTAGCGCGCGCTGCAGAGAAACTACTATAGTATATCAGGGTTATGTTGGGATAATGGAAAATGAAATGGAAACTACTACGTATAGTATATTTGGGTTATAGATCAGGCATGATGTGGGAGCACATGCTTCATGTACGTGTGTAGGCATGGAGGACGAGCCAGTTGGCAAGCCTTCATTGTTCCTGGTTCTTGATGACGGCTTGATGGCACCCTTAGGTATCACTGCGGTTTTGAAGGCGTTAACTACATGCAATCCAGATTCCACACGGAGAAGGACTTCAACCAGTGGATACAGGCGGCATCGTTTTTTTTTGCCTGCGGAACATGCAGTGTTGGATGGATTTTCATTGCTCAGCCTGCTGGCAGGGCAGGCTGCGTCAGGGAGGAACGCCTGGTGGCCACTTCATCATGATGACGGCCACTTGCGAGTCATACAGCCTGTGAGGGTAGACTACAGCATACTACGGCATGATGCGGCTTTTGTGAAGCATTTGGCGAAGTCAGACTGGAACCTTGCAAGGATTACCTTGACGCAGATCCCAATGTTACCCAGCATATTGTCCGCTACGAGAATCTAGATGCTGACCTGCGCTTTGTGCAGCCTGGCTGCAGTCTGTACCCGTAGGAGATCTGAAAGCATCCAAGTGAGCTATAGTCCAAACCCCTTAGAGGGGGGTTACATACGGGGTTGTGTAGGGGATTATATCGGGCAGTAGTATTATAGGGGCTATTGAGACTAGAGCTCAAATGTATCCAAGTTGTTCTGTGCTCCAGGCTTGGCCTGTACAACATCACCTACAGACGTGACTGGGACCTTTTTAGCTGTTACAACAAAGCTGACATGCTGCGGCCGCCAAAAGACAGTAAGTGGCTTGTTTGGCGTGATGTGAGGTCTGCGGCATGACAATGGTGGCGGGAAGAGGATGTTCACCCGGCGCAACATCACCAATGATACGCTGGCATACATTCGTGCCTGTCTCAGTGCAGTGTCTACGGGTTTATGCAGTGCCCGTCGAATTCAGGCGCTGCATCTGTATTCGTATCTTCATTGTTGCAGGCGCATACTACGCAGCAGACTTTGCCAACTTTGGCTACCCACTGCCTTGACTGAGTGGCGCATAGAAAAATGGCATGAAGTTTGCTAGGGTGAGGTCCTTTGTTCATATGAGCTGCAATCTAAACTCCGTAAAGGGTGGTTATATAGGGGATTATATGGGGGACTACTATTGGGGTTACTAAGGGGGATACTAGGAGTTTAGACTATAGCTCATATGGGCTCCTGACGGCATAATGCAGTCGTTGTGCGATCTGGCCAACTGTGCCCCTTCCGCGAGCTGCGATTTCCACCACTCAGTTCGGAGAAAGCGCGGGCTGAGCAAGAGCGCGGTGCTCTGTCCTCTCTTGCAGTGGGAAAAGGGTTCTAGTTTGCATGCCAACAGCAGGTAGCTGGGGCGATGGTGCACGCATGTGCCATGCTGCCAGGTACTCTCTTCGATTACTGAATCAGTTCTTCATTGGTGTGTGCTCGAATCCTGCTGAGGCTGGCGATTGCTTGTCCTGCCTGCGAATGACTGAAAATGTGTTGATACTATAATAGGGTATATATTTGGGTTATATTGGGTTATATAGGGATAATGGAAAAGAAAATGGAAACTACTATAGTATATAGGGGTTATATTGGGGTAATATAGGGGTTATATGGGGGATATATAGGGACAATGGAAAATAAAATGGAAACTACTAAACCCTAAACCCTATACCCTAAACCCTTAACCCTAAACCCTAAACCCCTATATTACTATATTGCATTGATGAGGCGAAAGCTGCCGAGCCGGAGGCCAATGCCATTTAGCTCTCGGACGCTTTCGTTGTTCCTCCATATATCCCCCATATCCCAATATAACCCCTATATAACCCTATATTACCCCAATATAACCCCTATATCCCCCATATTACCCCAATATAACCCTACATAATGTAGTAGTTTCCATTTTATTTTCCATTATCCCAATATAACCCAATATAACCCCAATATATTTCTCTGTTTGCTTGGTGCCAAAAGCGTGTCAATGGGATCAATTTCAAGTGTTTGAAAGGGACAAGGTACTTGTCGTATGTATACGTAAGGCCCAGGGCAGATGTTACGTTTCCTCTACATGCAAAGTACTCTCCGGGACCTCGGAATTGACTCCTGCCTCAGGCGCCTACGGCAGAGTTCCTGCAGACACTGAGGCCATTTCGGACCTGCTTGGCCGTTGCATATGAGCCATAGTCTAAACGCCTAGTATCCCCCCTTAATAACCCCTACACAACATTAGTCCCCTATGTAATCCCCTGTATAACCCCCCTTTACGGAGCTTAGACTGTAGCTCATATGTCGCTGCCTTGCAACGTTGCCTTCAGAGCATTTTACGACAAGCAGCTGTCGGTTGCCCAGACCTGCTCAAAAGGTCAATCACGGGGGCTTTGCACACTTTCGATGAGGTGCCCTCTGCTGATGTCTGCAAAATGGTTCATAGGCAAGCAATGGACTGGGCAGGCCCCTGGGACATTTTGATATTTTCCCTAATGGCTTGAATAGGGGACCATATATACTAATATTTTTAAAAGGGTTTTAGGGGCCAACCCAGTGGAGCAACTGTGTCAGCCCTGTTGGTCTGATGGTCCTCATGCAGGCAAAAGCCACAGGTGAAGCACAAGGAATTCTGAAGTGACGAGCGCCTCTAGACCGTTTTAGCTTACCCTGTGACAGCCGGGGCTTCAAAAGTTATTTGACGCGCAGGAGTATCAGAAGCTGTAGTTTTGCCTTTGTTGTGTTGTTCTTGAAGTTATTGAGTAACATCCGCTAACGTTCAGAATTGAAAACTGTTCAGGTCTAGACATGAATGTGAATCGCCATGATACATGGGACCGCCACTTGGCTCAGCGTACCCAGCGTGCGCCAACTTGCCACGGCCCAGACTTGTACGTGCGAAGCTGCACAGGCAGGGGTGCTCTGTGTGCATGGACCCATTTACATCCGTTTATTTTGAATGGCAGTCTTGAAATCATGAACAGTGCTGACCTCACTTTCACATTGCCCAGAGACTTGTTTTGGCTGCTGTCAGGGGCTTTTTTTAGAGGGCGGGCCATGACAGGCCGAAGTGGCCTCTTGGCAGAGCATGCAGAGCATTTTGTACTCGTCTTGCCGCCTTGCAGCTGCAAATCTCTGTCTGCCAAGTTACCACCACAGCGGTTGCAGCCGCAGCTGCCACAACGACTTTGGCAGCAAGCGTAGACTGGCAGGCATCCAGCATGTCTGTATACTGAGCATGCAGAGATGTGTTAGAAGCACCTGTAGCTTCTGAAGTCAAAAAAGACACAAGGATTGCGAAAATGCATGTGGAGGCATTCATTTCTCCTTCGTCTGTGGAGACGCGGGCTGGCACATCCCTGCGACGGAGGCAGCCCTCCCTCCCGCTTTTGATTTGGAACCACTCCGTGCTTTGGGTGACACCTTGCACTTGTGTATTTTGCTGTGAGGTCGCACGACAGCCCTAGCGACTCCTATGGATTGGAACTCAGCACGAGGGCTCTAATTTGATGCAACTACGTCGTTCAAGCAATATCGCGTGTTACAGCTACAGTCCCTGCCAGCTCAGCTTGCCAGCTCGTGGCAGAACACGAGGTCGAACGCTGGCAGCCGTGGGCGTTGCTGGAACAGCAGCAGCGGTCTGTTTCTCAGAGCCCTTGAGGCTGCCCAAGGCTGGCTGCACAGGAGGTATTATAGTATATTACAATAAATTATAGTGCATTACAGTATATTGTAGTATATTGTAGTATTTGTAGTATATTGTAGTATATTGTAGNNTAGTATAGCATAGTATAGCATAGTAAATTATTGTGGGGTACTGGGAAGTGTTGCTTTCAACACTTCTACTTGTAGTTCAGTTGCTTGAGGCCATCACATCATCGCGGCGAGGGCGTGCAGTTCGACAGGCCGAAACAAGCGGGACATGGAAGTGGGGCAGTTCTTGCACTTTCGGATAGCTTGTTTGGCAGCTGGATGTTGCTTGCGAAAATTCACTGGCCAAACCCTAAACCCTAAAC